TGCCAGTTTCCTGAGGGACATTTTTATCATGTGCTTTCTCACAACGTGGTATTTTTTTCTCATCTTAAAATCTTCCTCTTCTTACTCTTTAATTGGAAATTCCTCTCTCTCCTTCTCTCAGCCTTTAGAAGATTGCCAAGGGCAAGTTATATTAATAGCTCCTACATGATTCAGAATTAGTAACTCATCTCGCTCCTGGCTCCCTTCAGAGTGAACACTGTCTCGCCTGCTAGAGTGTGTGTGGCTTGAACTGTAGATTATCCAAAACCAAAAGAAAACAAGAAAAACATGTATTTTTCTCTGTGTGGTTGCTAACTGAATGGTGCAGTGGAGAACAATAAATAAAGATCAATATTCACCCTGAATTTTGTAGGGGGTTAAATTGTCTCTGATTCACATTATGTTTAAGCTGCAAGAGTTGCAGAGCAAGATTCAAGAGGAAAGATGAAGCCCAAGTGAAATCTGTCCTGAGTATATATGTATTGGTAGGCCTGCTGTCAAAGATGGAGCCCTTCAAGAGAGGCCTACTATAAAGGTTTCTTCTCTTCCTCACTAAGACATGCATGTTCAATTGCCTCTTTCTATGGCCAAGACAGAAGTAGTGATGAGAAGAACCAGGAGATGCTACTGCCTATTTGCTTAATGACTCTGCCTCTCGAGCAAGGAGGACAACAGCAGCAGCTGATGATGGTAGTGGTGAGAAGCAAACTTGTCAAAAGAGCCCTGCACTGGTGTTGCCCTGATAGGAAAGGAGGAAGAATTTCAAGAAACTTCCTTCCATGCCATTCTTTATAGCATGTCATATGGTACCACTAACTGGCAAGAGGCAATTGTCTGTAATAGCAATTACTAAGACTGAACCACTGCAAAATTTTGCAGCATGTAATGCTCCTGTTCACGGTTCTGGCCAGTCAGTTGTGCCATTTGCCATGACATGCCATTCCATTCCTTTCCTCCCTCATCTCAAGCTGATAGCATTTTATAAATAGTTTTGTAGGAGGGAGCATTTCAGCAAGCAGAACTTGCATGTCAAATACATTGCAGATGTATTGTTGCAACCTGAAGATGACATAGCCTGAGTCGCTTTTAATTCTGTGAATAGGGCAGTAAAATGTGGATTCAGTAGTACCATTAGAAGTCTTAGAACCAGGCCTTCTGGGCTATTCTTTAAATATGCCACTTACTATCCACAACCAGCCCTGCAAAATGGGATTACATTAGTCTCAAATGCCACTTAGTTTGAGATATACCGAAAGTGGGTGTTAGAGGTTATGTTTTTAATTACTGCCCAAATGGGTCTTTGATTGTGGAAAGATCTACGTAGTCCTGCATTATTCTTATCTAGTTGCATAGTCCATCATCTTGTTATGCCACACAGGAATTCCTTGGGCTGATTTAATGCTGTGAATGGAACCCAGAATGTTTTCTTCAGGAGGTTAATGCAGAATTTTATTTTCAGCTATCTACGCCTATGTCAGTTTTTGGATGTCAGAACCATTTGCTCTGGCCTCTTATGTTATTTAATAAAGATTCTAGCTGGGAATAGGTGAATAAGGCTGCCGTTCAGTGTGGCTACCCATAATCTGCCAAATTCTGATGATTATGGGTATTCAACAGAAGATGCATTTGTTGTGTTCTTGTGATCTCTTATTCATGGAAGTTTGTGAGGCTTTCACTACATAAATAAAATGAAAGCCAGTGTGGTGTAGTGGTTAATAGCACAGAACTGGGACTCAGGCAATCTGGGTTGTAGTTCCTGCTCAGCCACGGAGCTCTCTGGGTAATTTTGGGCCAGACACAGACACTGAACCCAACCTACTTCACAGGGTTGTTGTAGTAGGGATAAGCTTGAAAGCAGGAGCACAATGATGTAAGCTGCTTTGAGTTCTTTGCAAGAAAAAAGTCAGGATAAACATCTAATAAATCAATACATAAATACATTCTCCTCCTCCGGAGCCTGGAAGAGGGCAACAATTTTGATTTTAGGATTGCTTAGTTTGGATTCAGGCATGTAAAGCATAGACTCACTCAAATCAATTACCCAGGTTAGTCATGACTAACTAAAAACCCAACTGATTTCCGTGGGTGGTGCTTTAAGCATAACAAAGTCCGGATTCAACCCACTGTTTTGGCATTTCTATGCCAGTGCTGACACACTGTCTTTAAGGTGTCTGGGTAGAGATAACATTTTCTTTTCTATTTTCTATTTTTACTTTTTTACTTTTCATCCTATGTACAGGGATTTTTCTACTAGTTAACACAGTATCACAGTTTGTTTTGTCCTTTGTTTTTTATCTGTGTATATTTTGAGAGCGAATGTGGTGTAGTGGTAAGAATGCTGGGTTTGAGCTCAGAAAATCTGGGTTCTAGTCCCCACGCAGCCCTGAAGCTCCCAGGGTGACTTTGGTCCAGTCACAGACCTTCAGCCTAACCTAACTCATAGGGCTGTTTTGAGAATAAAATAGAAAGGACTAGAAACTGGGAAAAGGTAGGATATTAATGTAACGTAATAAGAGTGAATCTGTATCTCCTTGTGTGTTCTGCAGTAATAATGCTATCCTGAACATTCAGCCTATGATAACATTTCCTTGTGCATACAGAGGGTGACTGATTGGATAATTGTTACTACCTTGCCTGTGTTACACTTCAGCGACTAAGAAAAAATTGTGTGTGTCTCACTCTCAGTCCAGGTCAGATGATAAATCAAGCTTCCCCTAGCAAATATTTACATACTTATGAAACTTGAATTTATATAATTCAATAGGTTTTTGGTTTTTTTTAGGATTGTGGCTGTTCTTCCCTTGTGTAAATATCATCAGGATTCTTATTTTATTTTTCTATAAATTAGTATGTCACCTTTCCATGGCTATTCAAGGCAATACACAACAACAAATAGTGATAGAATGTAAGAAAACACTGTAATAACCCATGTGCTAAAGTGTAGCAAATGCATTTAGCAGTCAATTGCTAGAAAATTTTTAAAAAGTGAAATATTCTAAGGGACTGAAATATTTTAGTGGTATGATCTTATGTATACTTAATCAAAAGAAGTTTTATAAAACTGGGTTTGGTTTTCCTGATCTTGTTTTATATCAATATGTTCACTTCTTGATGTGCACTATATTTTGGTCTTTTCCATGTAAGTCAGATTTTTCGCCTTCGTCAGTTTTGGAATCTTTTAAACTGGACCCTCTCTCTGAATGGATTACATCAAGAGTGGGTAGAATTCCTTCCATAAGTACAGTTGTTAGAGATGTGTGCTTTATATTGTATCAATACTATTTTGATCCATTTTCTCATACAAAATTGACATTCTGGGGAAATTTGGATTTAAAAATGGGTAAGATTTTGTAGCAGATATGAATACGGTATTTTTTTCTTTGGATCAGCTGGAGGGTGAGGATTATGAGTTTTCATTCTCTATTTTGCACGCTAAATGTGTGTTGCCAGGTATGGCTGATTGGCAAAACCTATAACTGCAACATTTGTCAGTGTCTAGTCAGGCTACATTTACAGCTTTAGCATCTCCTTTCAAATTGGAAGCACTTACTGAGGCTGATCAAGCAAATCAGTCTATGTCTATAAATTGGTTGTATTACTGGTGAACAAATATGATACCCAAGATCTTAAGCAGGAGTCAAACAGGGAACTGGATTTTCCTTTGCCTGATCAATCGATTGACACTTTGGCATCTGCAGTTGTGGAACTTAGGTTGCATCTTACTCAGCAAAATCATTTGTGCATACTGTTTGTTAAAGAAATGTCCTGTCTCTTTAATAAGGGTTGGTGTAAGTTAGCTAATTGCTGGACATGTAATGCAGTGAATGCTTCCTTCAAGCATTTGTTTTGGCTATGTCCAGTAATTACCTATTCTGGGGAGGAGGTAATTAACTTTGTATTGGGGCACTCCTTAATATTTACTGATGTATTCACGCTTTTAAATTATTTACCTGCTTCCTGAAAGTTATCAATGGACTTCCCATGCCTTCCGATAGCTAAAATACTGATATTACCACACCGTATAGCTAAGTAGATGTCTCTTATAATGCAACAGATTGAGGATCTTGAGGAGAGTAATTTCAACATTTGGAAGGGTTGGGTATAGATACCACTAGTGAAGGAGTATTTATTTGAATATTTGAACTGTATTTGCTGAAGTTTATGTATATTTATTAGTAAGCTGCACACACATTTTATGTGCATAAATTGAAATTGATATAGGCAAATCTAGGCAAATTTCTTTTTTTCATCAAAATGTATAATACTCTTGTACAATCGCATGCACTTTTAAATAGGAAAACTCGTACAAGTTCCAGCTTCCCAAGCAGCTATTTTGGAAAGCTTTAGTTCTACCCAAATATGCACAGGATTGTGCGCTAACGTGAAACCTCTCCTCCCACACCCCCAACCCAGTTTAGCATTGCAGCACTGACTGGCAGCTGCTCTCCAGCATTTCACGGGGGAATCTTTCCAGCCCTATTTGAAGACATGGAAATTGAACCTGGGATTTTCTGCACGCAAAGCAGGGGCTCCACCCTGTCCATTAAATTCAGCGAGACTTACTCCGACGTAAATATATGCATAAAGTAATTCCTCTTCAATTCAGTGTGGGATTTATTCCCGACCCCAACACGTGCGAGCATTCGGGCTACATTGCGTGTAGACGACGCCAACTCGATTCCATCTACCTTTGCTCAGAAGCAAAGCGTGCAGAACAGCATGGCAGCCTAAAGCGTTGGCGATTCTGCCTTTTATCTACCACCCCCTCCAGCCTTTCCCAACAGCCCCCTCCCCGTCCTCTTCTCATACCACGTGACTCCACGGTTCGGTTCTCACACATCGACCTTTATAGCTATCCCTCCCTCTGTGGGCTCTTTCCCCCGAAGACAGTTGAGGGCAGCTACTTCAGGTTACCAAGTGCGCATGCTCTAGTGCTTGCTTGCGCATGCCCGCTAAACAAACGGAGGCGCCAACGACTTCGATAGGGAGGAAAAATCTAAACGACGGTCGCCGCCATATTGCGGACCTGTCAGCGGGACGCGGCGCTGCCGCTCTTGCGTGTCTCTCCTGGAGCAGGACTAGTGCCACTAGCGTGCCCTGAGCTGTAGCAGAAGAGGAGCCGAAGTGCCCGCGACGCCTTCTGGCCGGCTGCGCGCTTCGTCGTCTCCTCGTCCTCCCGTTTTCTCTCGCTTCGGACCAAACTCGGTGGCCAGCAAGCGGAAAGCGCAACCGCCCCCGGGCGCTTCACACCCGCCAGGTGAGGGGAAAAACGAACAGGGCCAGACTTACTCGCGCCGACCCTCTTGTACTTCCAGGCCGCGCATCGCCCTGCTTTTCAACCGCCGCCTATCCTTAATGCCTCACAACTCGGGACATAAATAGTAGAAACTGTCCCGGTTCCTCCTGCGCCATCTGAGGTGGATGTGCAGGAGGTGTTTGTATAGATGCATAGATGTGTGCGTGGATTTTATATATGTATGTATGTATGTATGTATGAGAGTGTATACATATGCTTCCGTGTGGGGAGGGGGAGAAGAAACTCCTTTTTCTTCTTCGCCCATCACGATGCGACCTCCTCTTCCAGAGTGTGATGTAGCCTCGCTTCTCGACCCCTGTTTGCCCCCCCGCGCCCCGCAGGCACGAGGACTCCCATCTCCCTTCCCCGCGTTTTCCCTCCTCCTCCCCTCCCGCTTTTGAGATAGATAAACGCTGGCGTGAGTGTCGCCGGTCCCTGTAGGGGATAGTACTAAACGAAAGGATGCGTGCACCTATTTCTGAATTTAGTATTCCTGGCATTTTTACCTCACTCTTTAGCCTAACAAACAGACAAGGCTGCTAGAGTGGCTTAAGAATAAGTCTATCCCTGCCTGCAAGGCTTACCGTCTAAAAGACATGACACAGGATGAAAGGGATTGGAAGGGAGTAGGAAAAAGAAGTATATATGAAAAGTTTCGGAAGTATATTTCTGCAGTTATGGTAACAAGATGTAGACTTCTTCTAAAAGGCAGATTTTCCTCAAAACTACCTTCACTTCTCTTGGATTTCTTTGCTTTTGAAGGGGAAAGAACATGGTGGGCTTAAAACTAAGCCTGTGTTTTCTCAGAAGTATCTCTGAACTTAATAAGACATTGTAAGTATGGTTTAGCTTAAAGCCTTAGGATTGTAGCTGAACAACTTAATGCCATACATGTTTACTTGTACATTTGCAAGTTCTTATTGAATATACTTGGCAAAATCAGAGTGAAGTCCTGAATTCCCTTAACTGGGAACAAGTCCTATCAAATTCAGTGAGATTTGCTTTTGAGTAAATATCCATAGGATTGAGCTGCAAGTCTTTTAACACCCCAAGCTTGAACACATCTGCTTGGAAGCAAGTTGTGATGGAATTATGTGAGGAGCTAAATTTCCAGTTAAACTCTTTTTAATGAAGTTGTATCTAAGAAAGATTGAGGTTCTGGGTTATTTGCTCCTTTTCTGCATGTATGGTCTAATTAATGATGGTTAGTGTTACAAGGGAGAAAGGGAAGAGAATTGTTTGGGAAGGGAGGGAGACTCTGAAGCTAGTATTTCAGGAGACTGGCTACTTGTTGCAAATAGGGACAAGTAAGTTGTTCACAGTGCCTCCTGTCAGCAGCTGCCAAACTTCTACCCAGCCCCCTATCTTTAACAATCCCAAAAGGAAGGAGATAGAGAAGTTGTCAGCAAATGGAGGAATCACTGACTGCTAATGCAGCGAGGTCGGTAACTGTATGTTGTCTTTTATTCTTTGCTGATTGATGGTAGAAATATCGGTCATAGAATAGAGTTCTTAAACTAATTTCTTAGTACATCAAAAATAAAGAAAGCTTGAAGTGTTAAAATTTTAATTAGAGATTACTTGTACTATACTGGGGTGGGTGAGGTCTGTTTTAACAACACAGGACACAGATTGTTAAAACTTGCACAGTTTTGCAAATGATCTTTAGCCATAGTATGTGGGGCACCCATTTGGTAGTCATGTATTCATGATAATAACACTCAGAATACACAAATAAGGAATGATCTCACATGAAACATCTCCAAATATTGATGCTGTCTATTGTTGAAAACAAATCTACATGTTACTAGTGTTTGACTTTTTAATATAATGTTTTACATAATAAGTACAATAACTCTATTGTACATTATTTGGGTCAGTGTTTTATGCAAATCTTAATAGTGATAAGCTTCTAAACAAAGTAACAAAAGTTAAAAGTTAAGGCTAGAGAACTTCAGCTGTAGTTCTCCACACAGGCTTTATAAGTGCAGTTAACTTCAGTGGGATTTCAGCAGCCTCTTATAAATGCAGTATTTCAGTGTTTTAAATCCAGAATTCCCTTGTTCTTAAGGACAGAAGACGTGTTCAGAGCATGGGTCAAAGTACAGGATATTTCTGAGTGATTTCATGTATCTATTTTTTGTTTAATGTTAGGGTGGGTAGACTATGATGTGCAAGGAGGGGAGGTTATGCCCAACAAAAGCAATGCCCTCCCAAATTGTTTCTGTGAGTAGAATGGTACCAGCAGGGCCTCCTGTTGGAACAAATGGCAGTTTGGGCTGTAGAATTTTTGTCAGGGCTGCAGTGCAAGGGCAAGAATTAGGACTTGTTGGTTGTTAGGTCAACTGTGCCTTGTTTAACCCATGGTTAATCTATAAACCTGGTTTGTGCAACATGACAGCCCACTATAGCTGTTTCATTTTAGCCTATGACTTGTTTGGGGCTATTTTAGGGTTCTCTTACTCTCAAACAAGCCATGCTGCTTGGCTTTGTTAAACATGGCAAGTCCCGGCAAGCTAGTCCCCATGTAGAAATGAAGCCTGGAACTTCATGGCATCCCTATTTATTTATTTATTTATTTTCTATACCACTCAGCACACAAAGCCCTTCAGGTAAATTAAGACAAGGTGTTCTGTTGCAACATGCAAACAAGCCTGTAATGTCCAGATTTGGAAGTCAGATTGCAGCCTCTGATTCAAGTTCAGTGGTTGAGTATCAAAATGGTCATGGAATGCAATATTCTCCACCCCCATCACTGAAATTGTGCCTTAATCTGTTGCCATTAATATGTAAACTGAGCCTTAATCTCTTCCTAGAGGCCTTTAAAATATAGACATGCTTAACCCATCTATGAATTTAGCATAACATGCCACTTTGTCTCCAGTTTGAAAGGACAGGTTCAAGATTGTTTTCAACCATGGTAAGCTAGAAGCTTCTAGGAACACTGCTAGAAAAGCCTGGAAAAAATGCCCTTATCAACATAGAGTTTTTTTCTGTCCAGCAACTGGTATTTAGGGGCATTCTGCCTGAATTAGGGATGTGTGAGAAATCTGATGGGGGAGTGAAAAACTAATGGATTTCTGCTCTCCCCCTATTCTAGTTTGCTATCTCTGCTGGTGCTGACTCTCTGTGGAGCAAGTTGAGCCATCTTTCTGACATACGTCTTTAAGACAGATTGTGATTTGCACTATTTTTCAAGCACTCACGGAATTTGTACAAATATGCATGATCAAAAACATGTGCCTATAGCACCGTTTGATTAGAATTTGCTAATTGGCGTGAACTGGCTGATTTAGCATGGATCGTGTTAGAACCATGTCAATTTTGGGTGCTAATTATTGCAAATGGTTAAAAAAATGCATGTAGTGCAGTCTCTTTCAGAGATAGTAGAAAATCTGTTGAGCTCAAGCAAACTGGATTTCCCTCTTTTGATACCTCCCTAATCAGACTAGCGAGTGCTTTAGAGGCAGCGGAGAGAAGACTCAGAATAAATTATATCCTGGTCTGTCTGTTTCCTCCTCTTTCTGCCTACAGTAATACCTTGTTTCCTCCCTCTCCAAAGTCAGTTGGAGAGGCAGCTGGCAAAGTTTTATCCTGTTGCTGAAATGGGTGAGAGAGGGGAGTTAGATATCTAGCTTTCTCTTCCAAGGTCAGAGTGCTGTCCCTGACCTTGGAAGGTGTTTTCCAAACCATTCTACACTTTCCAAGATATCCTGAGATGCTTGTTCAGGGATTGTGTGATTTCTCACCGAGTTTCTTAAATTAGTTATATGTTGGGAGGGTTTGAACAACACAATAAGCCACACCATGAAGAAAGTTACAAAGTTACAACAGACAATTAGGTGCATCAGGAATAGGGTGTCCACTTATTGACCTGTGGGTATCCCACATGGGTTCCTGTCCCCTCTATTACACTTGTCTGTGGTAGGGGGAAGCTGACCTTGGGAATGGTAACTTGCAGGTCAGCCCAGCCAATTTTTATCCTGTGTTGCCACAGCTACCTGGCAAAATGACCAGCAAAAAGGAAGAGATAGTTCTAGCTAGCTATGTGCATAGATGGCTAGAGCTGTCATCTTTTTCCTGCAGTCCTGAAATAGCGGGTGGGGATGTGGCCAGCTGTTTCTGATGTTGATGTAATAGACCTAATGCACAAAGGGGTGCTCACCTGACAGCCACCTGGTAGAATAGCAATTCTTCCTGCTCTTGCCAAATGGCTCTATAGCCATTTGGGTTACCCCAGGGGTTGTCATGTTCTTTGGGATCAGATAACACATCAGTCCCATGGGTGGCTGCCAAACCGTACAATGAGCTGTGGGCTCATGGGTTTTCATGACACAGTAGAGGCTCTTTTCAGCTGTGGGGGAGGGTTTGTCATGTGAATTTATGCATTGTATTAAGTATTTTCTTTTGTCTGTTTTTACTCACCTGCCACTTGATTTAAAGGATGACTGTGAGAGCCAGTGTAGTGCATTGGTTAAGAATTCTGGACTGGGACTGAGGAAATGTGGGTTCTAGGTCCCCACTCGGCCAAAAAGCTCAACTTGACCTACTTCATATGGTAGTTGTGAGAATAAGATTGAGAGTAGAAGGAGGATTATGTAAGCCACCTTGAATTCCTTAAAGGAACAAGGGTGGGATATAAATATAATTGTCATAATAATAATTCTAGAATTTGTAAGAGAAAGGGGGATATTCCTTTTCCATGCTGTTTACAAAGCTCCCTCATTTATACAATTACCCTTTTTCCTAAATGCTTTAACCTAAGAAGGTAGAGCTCATATCCTATCCATAAGGGGAAACTAGTCTTAGGATACTGAAATGTAGGAGGCAGACCTACAGAGTACTTTGAAGGCTCTTTAACAATAGTAAGTTTATATAGTCAGTTTTGGGAATGTGTCACAAAAATGATTTTTTCCCTGTGACGCATTAAATTAGTGTACTGTGTCTTTATAGTTGATGAGGTAGGCCACAAATAATTGAGTTGAACTATATTGGGCTTTTTAAAGAACAACATCTTTTTCAGCAGCTTGAGACTAGTGCATGGATCTGTTTTGGATGCAATACAGTTTTTCACACTTGCCCTGCACATTAACTCCTCCCACCCCCACCCCAACCCCAGTACCCTTTCCAGTGCTAAGATATTCTTTCTTTTTGAGGCTATACTGATAGGGCAACCTATCTGTAGGCCATATTTCAAATGTGACCTGAGCATAGATTTATTTGAAGGTATTATATTGGCCATTTTATTTTCTAATAATTCCTGAAATGGATTTTTACTTTTTCAGTGCCACTCTACCCTTAGGTAATGTTTTCATTGATTTATCCACAAAAATCCCTGTTCAGATGTTTTGCCCCAGTATGCAGCAGTTCACATTACTTTTATGGAAGCTCATTTGCTATTTTGTTGCCCCATCACTCAGTGTGGAAAGATTCTTTTGGAACTCCTCACAGTTTGCTTCACATACTGAATATTTTTTTTATCAACAAACCTCTGTCTCCAAATAATTTATGAATGTTTGTTCCTAATTTCTGTTCCTTGTGCTTAAACAATTACTGATTCATAAAATGACCTGTTGTCTTAACATATAACAGCCAAGTCTTTCCAGGTATCCTTGAGGGGAGTTAAAAGCTTTTTAAGAATCAAACTATAGTAATGGTTACAGGATTACTCCTATCCACTTGCTGATAATGCACAAACTATTTTAAAGTTTAGGAAGCTGTTTGGCTTTCTTTGTTTGGTTTCCTTTGGCAGAAACTGGTTAGGTAATGTAACCTTTGTAGAAGCTTGATTAATGTAGGAAATGTGACTTCAATAGCACTTTCCATTGTCAGGTCTGTGCAGAATGACTTACGATTTGCATTTTATATTGTGTAAGATGTTTGAATTATTAAGGTGAAAAAGAATCTCAGCATCAGGCAGCACAATTCTGTGACCACTGGAGTTTTTTGGAGATCCAGATACAAAGTTGGAAAAGCAGTTCTACCTCATGGATGGGTCTTCAGGCTTGCAATGCCCTCTCTCCCACAATAGATGATGAGCATTCAAAGCCCACTGAGCATACTTGGTCTTCACTGGACAATTTTTTTGGGGGGGGGGGTTCTCCCTTATTTTTTTCTGAGCATGCCAGTAATTTCCTTCTTGTGCCTGGATGGTGCTTTTTTGGTCATATAATGATCTACGTTTATAGAATGACTTGCTGTTATTATCTAAGTACCTGGATATTCATGATGAGTCATTATATTTATTTTATTTAATTCTTTGAATCAAAGATATGGATCAAAGGTAAACTACTGAAGAGGCTACCTGCTCTTTTTCTACCCCCATTCCCACACAGACATGCACATTCACACAGATTGTTGCTAAAAATGGGAGGATATTATTTTTCAAAAGTACATGAATATAATCTCCAAAAAAGAGACTTGTCACTAGAGGAAAAATTTCTTCACTTGCTAGGGTATAATGTGGGTGGGCATTCACACCTTTCTGTAATATAGGCATGGACTGGATTTATAAATATAGAGTATAGCTTTTATAGAAACTCTGTCTTCTTATCTAAATTAAGAATGATTGATGTATAATTCTTCTGTGGTTGTGCATAGTAACCTGAAGAATTGACAAGATATTTTGAATGGAATCAATTTTCCTCTGCTTTACTGTAACGTGCTGCCCCTGGAAACAGTCCGGATACTTCAGCTGGTACAGAATAGAGTAGCCATGCTGCTGATGCTGGTCCTCTATCAGCTTCAGTGGCTTCCAGTTGAAGTCCAGGCCCAATTCAAGGTGCTGGTTTTGACCTATAAAGCCCTAAACAGCTTAGGACTGGGATACCTGAAGGAACGTCTCCTTTCTTATATGGCCTTACACCCCTTAAGATCTGCGGGAGAGGCCCTGCTCTGGGAACCCTCCTTGAAGGAGGTAAAAAGGACATCTTCTCGGAGTAGTGCCTTCTCTGTGGTGGCACCCAGATTGTGGAATATGCTCTCCAGAGAGGTTTGCCTGGTGCTGAGCCTATATTCTTTTTGGTGCCAGGTCAAAACCTTTTTTTTCAATCGTTATTTTAAAAATTAGTATTTTAATGGTTCTACAGTTGCTTTTGATTTAATTTATTTTTATTGGTTATATATTGTTTTATTATATTATTGATTGTCTTAGTGGTTTCTGATTTTAATATTGTAAGCTGTCCTGAGATGTCATACATATAGGACAGCATATAAAAGTTTTAAATAAACAAACAAAAAACACTCCCGAGAAAAAGATTTTCTGGTCTAGTTACAGAATTGAATGGTTTTGAAAAGAAGGAACATTTTCAAAATGTATCTGAGTTAACTGGAAATAATTTTGCTGGCTTTTATATTTCAAAAAATAGGGAACTGATCATTATTTGGTTCTTGCCACTACAGTCCTAGGTGCAACCTGTGCCTTGCATTGCACTTAGTTAAACCTAATGCATATGTTTTATATATTGCATATTTGAAAAACATGCATTGCAAAATGCACATATTGAAAAAATGGTTATCCCTCTGGAACATTTTGAGGAAATTTCTATTTTATGTAATTTTCAAAACTGTTTTCAAGTTAAATTGACTAGGTGATATCTTAAGGCCACTTGCATTAATATATTCCATTATGGAGGTTTGAGGTAGAATTCCTGGTTCTATCAGAATAATAAATGATTCAGGAGATTGCTTCCATTCTACAGTTCTGTGATTTCTACTCCTGCTGAAACTAGAAGGTTCAAAGTATTAATCATTTTGCATTTTTTCAATAAACAATTTATTCTTGGCAAATGCTACCCCAGAAACATCTATTAGAATATAGCCTTTTGTTCTTGCTTGAATATGACAATTAAATAACTGCAAGTGTGAAGGAATACATTTTGTACCTTGATTGACTTCATTTTTCAATGTGTAGGGGATTGAATAAGTATAATATAGGGCAAGGAGTGCCATACAGTTTTGAAAGTAGATAATTGGGTATGATACACTAACCAATCTTAATTCCATCTGGTGATTTGTTCACATGACTTGTAATCTAGCTAAGACAGGATAGGAATGGATGGGTGGGGGAGGAGCTGCTTCTATAATGCATCTGGCATAGAGGTTGGCAAGGTAGCTGGTACTGGATTTGTCTTGTTTTCATGTGATTAAATTGGAAGCTGCCCCATGAGGGCTTTTTAAAATGAAAAGATAAATAAACTAAAGAAATGACACATTATTACTTAAGTAGATAATGTGAATTCCTTGATGTTTAAAATCTATTAGTACCCGCCTGCATTTGCAATTAAGTCAAATGTAAGTCTTTGCATTTAATCTTTTATGCAATCCTGTCCCACTTCAAATAAAGTTTTAATACTGGCTTCTCCAATTATTTTGGTGTTGATGACTAAAGATAAAGCATATATTTGGACTAGGTGGTCACCTGTAAAATACTGATTCAAACAAAGACAACCTCTTGAACCTTTAATTTACACTAACGCCGATTATTACATGTAAACCAGTGGAGCTAGACAAAATAGTATACATATTTACTGATAGCTTATTGCAGTTATAGTATGTCAACATCAGTTGATTGATTAGTAGAATATTGACTACATATGGTTATAACCAGTTACTTTGTTTTCACAGAAAAGGACAAGATTGTGATACAGCCAATGTTTTAAGTGAAAAAGAAGCACAGAAGAGGGGGGAAAATGCCGAAGCCAGTAAGTAATCCACTTCCAACTCTTCTAGTACTTGATAGGGTTTCAGTTCAGTCTGTAAACTGCAAGCAGGCATTTTTGCTAGCTAATACTCAGCTTGGCTCTCACTTCACTAAATAACTGTGTTACTTTTTATATGAAACTCTCCAAAAAGACAGACCTTGATCCAGAACTTCACAACCAAAGTATGGAAGCTCCGTGGCTGGAGGACAGCAATCCAAAGTAGTGCTGTGTGTTGTGACAGCCGCAGGATTCCCCAGCAAATGTAAAAATGAGAATAGTATTGTGATTAATTGTATATTTTGCATAACTTTCTAAATGACTGGCCTCTGTCAAGATTTTGCTGGAATTGAGATGAAGTTGTCATTCATTGAGATGTTCTGTAACTCTTGATGAAAAATGAGTATAGTCTTCAGAGTGCTTCTTCCTGCCCCCACCCCCAATCTCTGACATTTAGTTTCTTCTTAATATGATGACTGAGAGAAGAACCTACCATGCCTGTAGCCTTGAATCACACAGTCTGATGTTTTATATAGTCAAGGCAATTGAACAATTTTATTGTCTGGATGAATAAAGACATGCTTGTTCTCATCTGTAGGAATGAAGAAGTATTGTTTTTGGGGAGAGGATAATCATGTTTTGCTTTCCCTATTAGTTTTGGATATGAATTTGAATGCACTTGATTGAGCTGTTTTTAGTTAAGACTTCTATTTACTTTCTGGAGAACATACTTGCTTCTAAGAGCCACCTATAGCATGGACTGCCTCAATCAGTCACTTGTTGCTAAGGTGGACTTGGTAGTCAGGAGCACTTTTTGCTTGCTTTGGCTGGTCTATCAGCTGCGTCCCTACTTGGATGAGCGGAGTCTTACTATGGTTATCCATGCACTGGTAACCTCACACCCGGATTACTGCAATGTGCTCTATGTGAGGCTACCTTTGAAAATGGTCTGGATAGAGCATCTTGTTCAAAATCAGGCAGCACATCTGCTGATGAGGACAGGCACTTGAGAACATATTACACGGGTTGTGTGCAGGCCACACTGGCTGCCGGTTGCCTTCTAGACCCAGCTCAAAGTGCTTACAGTAACATATAGAATGCCAAAATGTTCTTGTTGTGAGCCGTCCCGAGGCTTTGTTGCGATGGGGGCGGCATAAAAATGTTTTAAATAAATAAATGGCTTGGGGCCAGGTTATCTGAAGGAACACCTATCTTCTGATCACTGTAGTCATCATCCAACACCCTTCTCTGTATTCCTTTCCCAGTGAAGTAAAAGGGGAGATGGCAAGGAGTAGGGCCTTTTCCATAATAGCACCCCAACTGTAGGAACTCACTTTCATCTGAGATCCAGTTGGTGTCATTCCTCCATTCTTTTGATGCCAATTAAAAATGTTTCTCTTTCACAACTATTTTGGTGGGTGAGCTGTTTGGTTTTAATGGTTGCTATGTTAATTGCTGCAGCCATATTATGATGTTAGTGCCAGGTACTTTTATTTTACTTAATTATGAATAATGTTATCTTTCATTCAAGGTAGTTTAAAATGGTTTAATATATTGAATGCTTAATCTGATGTCCTCATCTCATCTCATTTTATCTTATCCTATTACTTGTTATTCTATTTATTGATTTTATTATTGTTGTTGGTTTTTTATATTCTGAATTGCACTGTTTTAACAACTCACAATATATTTGTTGTATAATGTTGAGAGTTGCCCAGAGAGCCTATGGCTAAGGGGGCAGAATACGAGTCAAATAATAAATACATAAGTTACCATGAAAGAGATATTTAGTACATGTTATCTTTAACCACGATAACAGCAACCTGATTGTGTGAATGAAAGCTGCTACAAAGATGAAAGGATGAAAATCAGAATTAGTTTTCACTGGGAGGAATCCTAGCCTTTTTATCTCAAGTTTTGAAAACAGATGCTTGCTGGGCTTTGTTAGAAGAGAACTTCATGGGGCTCAGGCCTATGGGAAGCAATGCAATCTGCAGTGTTAACATATCTTCTTAATTTTGTAGAAGGTATGTTGTGTTCCCTACATGGTGGAGAGGAAGTGGTGCTCTGCAAGCATTCAGAGGCACTTTTATTATATTCATACAGGCTAATAGAAATTATATTTTATTACTAAGCCCAGACATAAGTTGTAGACCCTGGATCATTAATGAGTATTAGCACTGTTTGATAGTTACACTGACAAGCTACCAGAACTTACTGTAAGTTTATAGCTAAAGGCAGTGTTGCCACATCAAATCTTTCTTTTCATAATCAGTGTACATGCTAGTTTCCATGACAAGAATATACTCAAATGATTTACAGAAACAGATTTTATATATCATGTTAAATGTAAACACACAATATTTATTTATTTAAAACATTTCTATGCCGCCCCCATCAGCCTTGGGGCGGCTCACAAAGAATACATAAAAACATACATAAATAATAATAATATAACAATTTAAAAGAAAAAAACATTTAAAAACCCCCGGTGCATTCTCAGCTAAAAATTTTTAAATCCTAATTAATTCAATAATTTAGCAATTAAAATAAGTTTTAAATAAAAAGGTCTTAGCCTGGCGCCGAAAAACAAATAAGGACGGCGCCAGGCGGACCTCTCTGGGGAGCGCATTCCATAGATGGGGCGCCACCACAGAGAAAGCCCTCCTCCAGGTACTCACCCTCCTAATATCATTCACAGAGTGTTCCTGGAGAAGGGCATCTGTTGCTGATCTCAAGGGGCAGGAGGGCATATATGGGTGCAAGCATTCCTTTAGATATCCAGGTCCCAAGCTGTTTAGGGCTTTATAGGTCATAACCAACACCTTGAATTGGGCCCAGACTTCAATCGGGAGCCAGCGGAGCTGACGGAAAACTGGGGTTATATGAGAACAATGCCCAGTCCCCGTCAGCAACCTGGCAGCTTTATTCTGCACCAATTGAAGTATCCGGACCGTCTTCAAGGGTAGCCCTACATAGACTGCATTACAGAAATCTAATCGGGAAGTTACCAGCGCGTGTGTCACTGTCTCCAGGCAGTCGTTCTCCAGGAAGGGACGCAGCTGATGTATCAGCCGAAGCTGAAGGAAGGTGCTCCTCGCCACCACCGTCACCTCAGCTCCTAGAGACAGCTCAGGGTTGAGGAGCACTCCTAAGCTGCAAACCCTGTTCCTCAGAGGGAGTGCAACCCCATTTAGGACAAGGCCGAAGCCCCCCATCCCGAGGCCCGAGCCACCCACCAACAGGACCTCCGTCTTGTCTTGATTGAGCTTCAGTTTATTGGCCCTCATCCAGCCCATTACCTCGGCCAGGCACCGGTTCAGCACAGCCACGGCCTCACCTGGATTGGTGAAAAACAAGAGGTAGAGCTGGGTATCATCAGCGTACTGATGATTCTGCAGCCCACACCTCCTGATGACCTCTTCCAGCGGTTTCATGTAGATGTTAAATAGCAAAGGGGACAATATGGACCCCTGTGGAACTCCATGGCACAACTGCCATGGCGCAGAGCCATAGTCCCCCAGCACCACCTTCTGGAATCGGCCATTGAGATAGGAGCGGAACCACTGCCACGCGGTGCCTCCAACTCCCAATCCCACCAGCCTATTCAGAAGGATGCCACGGTCGATGGTATCAAAAGCTGCTGAGAGGTCCAGGAGAACTAACAGGGATGCACTCCCCCTGCACAGGTCATCGTACAAGGCGACCAAGGCAGATTCAGCACTGTACCCGGCTCTGAAGCCGGACTGAAATGGGTCCAGATAATCAGTTTCATCCAAGAGTGCTTGGAGTTGTCCCGCCACCACCCACTCTAGCACCTTGCCCAGGAACGGGATGTTGGCCACCGGTCTATAATTGGCGGCCACCTCTGGATCCAGGGAATACTTCTTTAGGACTGGCCGGACTACCGTCTCCTTTAAAGGGGCAGGTA